CAGTTTTCACCCATATATAACCATAAATTATAATAGATTTTCTTGATTACTGTTCAAATAGACATTTTGTGTAAGAGACAGTTTTACTTTATCTTATAATCGTAAGTGAAAAGCCAACCCAATTTTGAGTTTACAGCTACCCATGTTCAACTCCGTTGTCTTATCATTTTGAACCCCATTCAGAAGACAAGGGAACTCCTGGGTCAAGGATTGGGAGAAATTAGGCTTCGTGGAGGACTTTTTGATGGAGCTAACCTGCATTTGCGTTACATGTAGAGGAAAACCACGAGAACCTCCTGCGGTTAGCTCGACAGGAGGGGGACTCGAATCCTTGAAGCCTTTCTCTAATTTGTGCCATCTTTTCTTCGTCTTATAAGGGGCTTTTATACTCCCTTTGTGATGAGCATACAAGCCCCTCATATATCTGTGCAGCAATAAGTAAATAAGAACAACTAATAAGCAACACACTTATAAGAATGATTAATAAGACTACTCCATCATTACCCTAAAAAATTCGTTTTAGCTTCGATAAATTAGATTCGTTTTAGCCTGTATTGAGCAAATTTAAATGCTTTTCTATCATTGCAATGTTGTTTGAAAGATAATGGTTATGATGAACATTACCTTAAATAAAAATACGTATGCTTAATTTATTTTTTGTCACGTTTTCCCTCATTATAAAATCCATTAAATTTCACTCATTGTAAAAGAAGCGCGTGAAACTGCTAAAATATACATTTCACTTTGAAACTCATTTCATAAATATGATTTAGATATCGTTAATTCGTTCAGCCTATTGTGAAGACTTTATAAATGATCATGCATGTTATATAATGGATAAATCATTCAACGAAATTAAACGTCAGTCTGTCACGTATTTGGTTTTGAAGTCCTTTCATTTAATGAGTTTTGTCCAATTATTTCTCTTACTTTACATCAACAATTTGCTTTCGTAATAAATATTAACAAAACACTTATTTAGCAAGTAGAAAAATTAAATGATGCTGAGGTTGAATTCCTTACTCGATGAACTAAATGAAAAATTTAAAGAAAATTAATGTTCAAAAAACGCATGTTAAAAAATAAAAATGTTTATAGTGTACTGAAAAGGTTAATTTTTTTCTTATTTTATTGTTGCACTTAAAAATGAAATCGTTGGAAATACTTTTTTGAATAAATTTATATAGATTAAACTTGTGATAGAATTAAATAAGAGTGAATGAAAATCTGATAGAAATACTTTTTATCTCAATAACAGTTGGTAACATTTTTGAATAAGTGCTAATTTTAAATCTTTTATTTTTATTCCTTAGAAGTAGGAACCATGTTTTAACAAGTGATTTAAAACTCTCCGTTATGAGTCATAGAATAAAGAATTGAAAGAGTATCGCAACCAAAGCAATAATATGTAGACTATATTCAATCAAATAATTTAAAAACAAACCAAAGTAAGATTGCAACAGCCTTCATTTAGTAAACAAAAATGTAATGCTATGATAAAAATGTAAAGCTAGATATTGTTATAGCATTTAGAAAAGCTATAACAATATGTATGTATAATAAATGCTTATAAAATATACGAGTTTAATATTATTTAACGCAATTTAAAATTTTAAAAAAATTTAAAACAGAAGATGTGAATAAATTTCTTTAAAAGCATTCTTATTCGCTGAGAGCTTATGACCCGCTGAAACAGTGAGCAAAAAAAGAAAGTGCAACTCCTTTTCATCCCCCTATTATTTTGGAAAGGTTGTTTGAAAAACAAAAACAGTAAGATTGGTTGCGAAATTCGATCTTTAATAAATCTCGTCCATTATTTTATATTAAATAAATGAAAAATCCTCTTCTTTCTGAGAAAAATATTCAAATTAGCTTTTAAAAATTAATTATTTTAATACATAATTTAATAAATAATACGTAACACAAGCCTTATTATTTTTATTTTATATATAGCAACTTAACGTGCGAAGAAAAGCTTTCTTTTTTAGAAACGATTTTACGTATTTCATTTTCAGAATCGCTTTCCAATTTAAAATTATTATTATTACTAAGATATGAAAATGCTTTTTCAGCTACTGAAATTTATAGTTTGGAATTGTGTGCAATTTAATTTTTATTAAAAGTAATATAAATGCAAAATTTCCCATTCTCAAACTTAAAAAATATAACTGCAACAACGTAAAATGAAAAATATTTGAAGGGAAATGTTCAGTAGTTCAAATGTTCACAAGAGATTTTGGGGTAACTTTAGTACAAGCAACTTAAAAAATTACCGAAAAAAACACGTGTTACTGAACACAATCTTATAATCGACAGCGATTTTTAATTGAACAAGTGGATCAGTCAACACTTAAAAATTATTTCAAGCAACCTCGAGTTTCGTTTTAAGAGTAATCCACATTTTTTTTCAAAATAACTACGCTTGTGAAATCTATAGAATTCCAAAAAAAAATAAAAAGGAAAAAAAAAGCCTAGTGACTCGAACTATTTAACATAGTATATGAAATTTATTATAAGAAAATTCTTTATGACTTCGAACATTCATTTGATTCAGCGTAAAAAATGCATAGGAAAAAAAGATATTTAGTTTTGTTTTTTCTTCTTTTATTAACACCCTCTCAATAAATTCGAGATGTTTTCTAAGGTCAGGGGGGCACACTTTAAGGCATCTGTATTGAATATCCGCAATTCAAACTGTTATTTCGTTCATTATGTATGCGACACGCGTAAAAACACTTCGGCTAAAAGGTGTGTTTAAATACCGCGCCTGAGATTCAAATACTACACCAGATCTTGAGTTGTTTTGTAAATTAAACAAGTCTAGTTAGTATCTGTCATCGATCTTCAATGCTGGCCCAATTAGCTTCAGATCAACGCGTATAGTTCAAAATGCAATTAACGTGCTGTATTAATTGAGATCAATTGCATGATTATCTTGGAAGTAAATTTTTATTTATTTTTTCAGTGGTTCTCATAAATATACAGTCTTGTGAGCTTATGACAAACGTACGGCTAATAAGCTTTTGTCAAGAACAGATAGCACCATTGAGAGAAAAACAGCACAAAGATACATCCAGGGTTAAGCCGGGTTTCGAACCCGCTACCTCCTCGCTACACAGCATTGTGCATTTCTTTAAGGAAAAAGTCATGCGACTACCATCCAATCCATAAAGCGCATTCGAGCAGTATCGTCTTAACGCAAGGGCACACCCGGGCAGTGTTCGGCGGCCTTTGCGAATCTTACTTTTTATAAATTGTATTTTAAAAAAAGACAAAGAATAAACAACATTGTCTTACATATTTTTTGAAATAAATATATTCTATTGTTTAAAGTGTGTATTTTGTGCTTCTTTCTACAAATAGTGATTGGTTATCATGCAAACACCCATCATTTGAATAGTTTATCACCAGGAAAGCTTCAAAAGTCAACCGTCATCTATTTTTCTGTGTTCCAATGAAGTTTTTTGGTACTCAACTCTCACTTACTGTAGTCCCGCAGTGGACTGATCGTTAAGACACGGTTCCCAGCAGATCACCGAAGTCAAGCATCACTGGCTACGGTCAGTGTGCGGGTGGGTGACCCACTTGGATCAGCCTGCGTAGAGACCGAGGGTGCACGGTATGGGTCTTCGTCAAACTGTGCTACCGTAAAGTGCTCGACTTCGCGTGCAAGTCGTCGGGCTACTCCCCTCCGCAGAGAATCAAAATTGTGATGGCATGTCTTCGGATCATCCTCAGGGAAGTTTCCCGGACCGTCGCCAATAGCCCATCGTGAAACTCTAGTGCAACGTAAATTAACTACAACAACTACAACTCACTTACTGTACAATTTGCGCCTGCAAGATTCATACACATCTGCGAAATAAATGAACAAATCTTATGTTAGGTCACTAAGTATGTTTGACCACCATCCACTCTGTTTACTATTTATAATTAGTTAAATAAAATAATAATTGAAAGAATTTTGTTGTTGTTGTTGTTAATTTACGTCGCACTAGAGCTGCACAATGGGCTATTAGAGACAGTCTGGGAAACATCCCGGAGGATGATCCGAAGACATGCCATCACAATTTTGATCCTCTGCAGAGGGGATGGCACCCCCGNCGAAGTCGAGCACTTTACAGTAGAACAGTTTAACGAGGACCAATATCGCACACCCTCGGTCCCTACGCAGGCTGATCCAAGTGGGTCACCCAACCGCACACTGACCGTAGCCAGTGATGCTTGACTTTGGTGATCTTCTGGGAGCCGTGTCTTAACGATCAGTCCACTGCGGGACCAAAACTTTTATATTCTTCCTTCAAATTTTCTTCTTTTTTTTATTTATTTATACCTAAATCATCAGATTTGTGTGGCCAAATGGCTCTTATCAAGTTGAAGTCTTCAAGATAGCTCCTATTACAAAAAGACATCACGGATACAGAATTGAAGATGACTTCTAGGATTAGGGTGGTAATCTACCTCCATACTTTAGACGATTTAGAAAATGAACAATACCCCACAACAACGTATGTTTGGTTATTGTTGCGCATACATGTGCAGGTGTGAGTGCTGAATACAAAGAACGGTTTTATAAACCTATTTAGCAGATAACATAAATTATAGAAGCAAAGCCCAAACTTATGAGATTCGAAATGGCCACTACCCTAAGCTCCCACATTTCTGAGCGTTCGTCAGAAGAATAATACCTCTCAGCCACGGAGGTCCATATCTTCTATACATATTATTTATTGGATTTACATACATTTGCAGGCTTGGGTGCTCAATTTAGGCTTATAAACCATTGTCAAATAGAAGAACAGATAATACAATACAGAGAAGACAGCACGAAGATACATTCAGAGTACAGCGGGATTCGAACCCGCTACCTCCATGCTTTGAACAGCGTTTGGAGAGCGATACCACTCGACCAGGGAGGCCCCTCTTCTATACATAAAATATTCAGTGATTCTATAAAATAATCGTAATCGATATTTTTCAAAAGTATAATAAGACCGAAATTAATGTGCAAAATGAGTTTGTATTGCTCCAGTTGTTAAGGGTGGTGTTTTGCTTCCAGTTTCGTAGTCTGACTTTCCATTGGTTTGTAGGAGTTTAATAACTTGAAACGTTGTATTTGTGAGATATTTGTGTGAGCTCATGTTTTCTACAAGAATAGTAGATCCATTTGAACGAGTCGTTAGATTCCTCGTCAGCTACTCAATCTTTCACCAGTCTTCTCCATTTTGTCGAAAGGTAAGTAAAATTTCAAATTGCAAGATTTGATTTTTAAAATCAGAAAAATTAGTTTTGTGTTTTAAAACTTTGAATAACATTGAATGTTAATTTTGTTCCTTTGATATATATGTGTTTTAATGTACAGCGAAAGTCTACTAACAAATTCAAACCTGTATAAGAAAGCTATCTTCATTATTTTCTTTCATAACAAAATTATACTAGTTTTTACAACTGTCAATCGTAATTTAATTATGATATTTAACTGTTATTATGCGCTTTGTTACGGAAACTTTTCTCTGATAAAGGCTTTATAGAATTTTTTTAAATTATTAAAGATATCTTGTTTTAAGATTTTATTATTTTATTGACTTACATGCAGATTTTGGATGTGCATTTATTATAATTTTAAACATGTGCAATTTTGATTTTCCAGTTTCTCAGGCTTTGAAAATTTTTAATTTTGAACCTTGTACCTTCATTCGGAAACTTTACTGGTCAATTCTAAGTGTTAAGAGACGAAAGTTTCGGAAGTGGTTATCTTGCTTGTAATTCTTTTTAATATATATCTTTTGGTAATTTTAATGCTAAACTAATCCGTACAAAATCATGAAGTTGACATTTAAAATATATATATATATTTTTTATATTGAAGTTTTTTAATTTATTTGAAACTGACTATGCATAATTCAATAAAAATTTAAATTCACTTAAGATATTAAGTTAACTTAATTCTGTGCTTTTTAAAAAAATTTTGAATGAGTTTACTTAATGTTAACATGACCAAAAAATTTGGTAAAATTTAAATTCTGTCTCAAGTAAACTACTTTATTCGGTTTCCTCAGGTCGTTGAATTTTTAAATTATAAGGTGAATAGTTCAAGCTTTATTTTAATGATAGTGTTTTAAAATTTTAGTTGTTGTATTTTGGTTAAGAGTGATTTATCTAGTTTTATACTAGAGCTAAATAAACTAGAACCTTTTATGTAAAAATAAAACCTTCCATACAAATTTTATAATCTCTAGGACATTAAAATTACTAAGGCTACAATGAACTCCCAATATCATGAAAATCACTCGAAAAATCTATTTTCTTATTTTGAACTTTTTTATATTAAGTCGTATAAAAAATCATATTATTAAAATTTTAAAAATTTGTAAAACATTTGACAATATTAGTGTAATTTCGCTTTTTTTTTATTACAAGAACTTGTTATTGTTTGCGAGTGTTGTGTTTTTGTTTCTCGAAACAAAAATTTTGCATCGAACTGGAAATTGAAATAGTTCCATGCGCTATCATTTTGATGACTATTCCGTGAATTTTTTTTGACACAGTCTCTAGATAAATGATAAAAACTTGTAGAGAAAGAAACAAATTCAAAATAAGGTGCCACAACATATTTCAGAGTCATTCCAATGTTCCAAAACGTTCATAGAGGAACGATTTTAAATATTTTTTTTTTTAACTTGCTTGTATGGAAATTATTAAAAAAATTATCAATTTTTTCTCTAAAATTTGAAGAAACATGTTTTGCCTATTTCAAAACAAATCTACAACTTGTTTTGAAGAAATTTTAAATTTTTCATCTTACGGCATGAATTGTGTATCAAATTAATTTTTTTTAATGTTCTCTCTAAATGTAAACATATTTTTTAAGAAACTTATAAAGAGTCCACTGTAGCCTTAACTTTACGAACTGATGCTGCGCCATTNTATTTTTTAAGAAACTTATAAAGAGTCCACTGTAGCCTTAACTTTACGAACTGATGTTGCTCCATTGCTTAAATTTTATCAGCATCAAAGATAAAGATTTGTAGAAGTTCTGTCCAACTTCTCTGAAAACACCAGTTTTGATATTTTTGGAACTTACATGAGGAATGCTTATAGTGGACTGGAAATGTTGGTCGGTGAACAAATTCCTGACCTTTTTAGGCCTAGTTAAAAACGTTTCGCAATTAATATGCAGTTTTTGACTTTTGTAAGAACTGGATGAATCAAAGTGTAACTAAACATTTTTAAAGTAGATTCCTGTATTTTGCAAGCTTTGATTTTGGAATGCTACCCTCAAAGCACGGCGATCTTTTTTTTTTGTAATCTGTATTTTAATGAATCTGCATCCTTTTGAGATAATGCTATACCGCTGAAGATCTTCACCTACGTAAGTAATATAAAAAGTATGGGAAATAAAGAGGTAAAGTTAGGAGCTTTCAATATGCAAATTATGGCAGGGTTGTGTAAGATTATCATATCTTAAAGTTCTTGCAGAAAAATTTTTCTTTTGAAGAAAAATTACTTTTCTACTGAAATGTTTACTCGTAATATTTGAATCATACGACTGGATCATCACTTTTTGACGCTCTCCATTTACGACGATTGTATTGTAAATCGATGTAATGTCATGATTGTATTTTCGGAAGTTATTGGTTTTCGCGTGGATTTTAAATATCCCGATATATTTTAAACAATATGGAAAATTCGAATCGTGCATTCGAGTGTTTACTTATCAAAGCAGTAAATCTATTTAGTTTTTGGCAGTTATTGATTTCTTAGTTTTTAAATCCGATATTTTTAAGAGACATTTATTACAACAACGTAATCTTGAAACGAAACACGCATTTGAGGAGCCGGATTCCCGTAATTTCGTCTTTTTTTTCCGGCAATTACTACTACTGATTTCGTGATTTTTAATATTTTTATTGTAATAATTGTTTACAAAATTCGAAGTAGGAAATAATTTGTATGCCCACCCCACAAAATGCGAGAATATCACCCATAATATTAGCATAATTATGTTTTTATTAAAAAATTTGTTTTTTGGTAAACACAGTATTTTTGTTATTTGAACTGAGTAGCATAGATGTTTTATGATTAAAAGTATCTCGCAGAAAGATATTAGTGCTAGACTTTTGTCGCAGATAGCTCTAAAAATTCTACCACAGGGTTTGAATGTTTTAAAAAAATATCTGAAGCTTCATGGTCTACTTTAATTCACTTTTCTCTAAGCTAAGAGATGATCAGACGTTCCTCAGAGGATGAATCTTGAACTCAAATTTCAATACCTCTCCTCTAAAATTATAAAGAACAGAACGTTCTCAAATTTTAGTCTTTGAATTGCTCGAAAACATTTCAGTTTTTTTTACATGCAGTGAAATATTAAATATACGAATGTTTTACTTAACAAGATAATTTTGTCTAGAGAGTACTAACGTAAAGTACCAAGCCAAAACTTATGGAAACTCTATAATAATCTGAAATTTTATCAACAAAAATACACTAAAATCATGTCTTCGTTTTACAAGTGTTAGCAAATGAGGGATATCTAATGATAAATCCAAAATGCTTAGCAATGATATAAAGCTTGATGAAGAATTTTCTTAATCTGGTATTTTTAAAATTAGTTTTTTGGCAGAAGCATTTTCCACAAATAAAGGGTCGTCCACGAATTTTAAAGTTTGAGGGAGCTCTGTTAGATTGTCATCAAATCATAGTTTTGCCATGAAGCCTTCCACCTCCCTATAGCAATATCTTAAAATGCCTCTTTTTTACAACATCGTGGATTCACTTTCGATAATAAATATTAAACACTACTTTACACTCATTAAAGAATGAGAAAATAATACCTAGCTTTATTGCGAATTGCAAAATTCTTATATTTCACCACTTGGCAAAATCTTTCCAAACAATCGTATGGATTCGTAATTTTGCATCTGCTTAATCCATATGAGGATTTGATTCTTTGTGTTATGCGTGAATTAAACAAAGTGTACAAATAAAAGAACAGAAATGGATGTAATATTCTACATGGAGACCATGACGCTGATCGCCAACACGCCAGATTCTGGTACGCGTAGGTCACAGACATCCCATACTATATATCAAATACGATTTTGCGATCATGAGCGATATGTATCTAGTTATAATAGTATCGTGAATAGTACACGCGACAATAATTATTGACGTGAGTGTTAAACTTAATAAACTGAAATAATAATCCAATGCAAAAATTTAAATTCTAAAAAATATCATGGTAAGATGTTAAACATAAATATCTTAGGAATACAAAAAATTTCACTCTTAGGGAACTAGTTCTTATTGGCGAAAGAATCTGTCAACTCGTGGTGCCTATTACCGATAAGTACCCGTAATAACTTTCCGCTGTATCTAAACAGTGTGCTAAACTCCCTAATTAAATGCCTTTGATTTTAAGTCGGTCATTAGTTGCTTCGATAAATGTTTGGGTCAGGGTTTAATAAACTGTTTACTTTCAGCTCTGACAGTCTGATTCAAGAAATTCATGTAAAGACCTCTTAAACAGAACATCCCGGAGTTGGATGGAAGATTCGAACAAACACCAATTTGGAATCTAAGAGTAACAACTTCTAAGATTTTACAACCGGTAAGTATATAGTGGTAAACTACTAAATTTTAACTCTTAATTATCTGAAGTAATTAAAGATATTTATTTCCTGAAAGTTGTACGGTCAAATGCGGGTTTCTTTATATATAATACAGTTCCCATATTAGTATGAGCATTTTATCGAGTAATCAATACATTTCAGTAAATGATTTGAACCGTTGTGGCTCAGAGGATAAAGCATTCTCCTTGCGATAACGTGACCCCAGGTTCGAATCCTAGTGGTGGCTGGTTGATATGAATTCCTTTCCAGACTAGCTCGTACCAGTGCTGAAGTAAAATATTCTCATCGTGTGTTAGTTCCATCAAAGTCCTCCATGAAGGCAAATTTCTCCGAGCACTCGATCTACGAGTTCCATTGTCTTCTGGGTTGGGTTCAAAATTAAAAGATTACCGAGTTGAGCGTTGATAGTCGCAAATTTTGTATTGGGGCTGCTGTTGAACTGCGGTTATAAGATAAAATCAGTCAGACACAAGTTTCCATTGTCGTTGCATTTGTACTATCAGGAAAACGAAATTGGTAGAGGATTCATTGATCTTCCTATTACAATTAAACGCCTTAAGGATACAAAATAAGTTTTCCACTTTCTTATTCTTTTTGGGTTTCTAAATTAAAGGTTAAAAACTAATATTACCTNTTGGTAGAGGATCCATTGATTTTCCTATTACAATTAAGGATACAAAATAAGTTTTCCACTTTCTTATTCTTTTTGGGTTTCTAAATTAAAGGTTTAAAACTAATATTACCTTATGCTATATAAAGATCCTACTCTGTGTCGAAACTTAACAGTATTTATGTGCAAATCAGTTCAATGATTCCTTCTAAGATGAATTTATCGATCAGCTTTATGCACAATGTGGTACATCTCATATTTTTGAAAATGATTTTTGATCAAAATTATGTCTACTTATGTATCTTAATATTATCTAAGTGCTTAGGCGTGAAAAGCGCAAAAACATTTTCAATACATGTATGTGAATAATTTAAATTTTCGTGGAAAACGTTTAATAGCAGCACTGCAAAAGTAGGGTAAAAAGCACTGACGCACTGCATGTAAATTTTCGTTATCGTAAAATTTTATAGAGCGAAACCTATACAGCCCCGTATAGATTTTGCTCTATAAAATTGTATCTATACAGTACCGTAAACTATAAGATTCTATGTAAGATTTTAATTATCAGTTGACTCTACAGCTTTAATGTTTTTACGCGAATGAAACCGGTTGGGGGTTAATGTTTTTGCATCAGTTGGTTAAATTATACTACATATAAATTCGACGATTAACTAAATTAGACTAAATATTATTTAAATATAGAATATTTATTATTGGTATTAGTACATAATGATAATGAACAGAATTATTAGACGCATGGTAGTGTTTTAATAATTACTTGTTTTGCACATGTTTATAGGCAATACTTTTGTAGTTAAATATACATGTAATGAATCTTTAATAAGGAGATATTTTATATACTTCCTATTTGTATTTATTTTTTAACGTAATTGCATTACAATGTTAACCAATTGATACACGAACGTAAACAAGTTTAAACCGGTTTCCTCCGCCTAAAAACAATACTGTATAGCAGTGATTCTTAACCTTTTTAAGCCGCGACCCAAATTTGAGAAATATGTTCATGTCGCGACCCAAAAAAAAGTCAAAATTAGGCTGAGTAAGCCACAATGACTTCTTTTAGGAGGTGTTGGTATTACTTATTATTTGGTGTATAACTAACTTTTATGGTTCGACTCAGCGCGACCCAAGAAATATGCTTCGCGACCCAATTTTGGGTCGCGACCCATAGGTTAAGAACCGCTGCTGTATAGGATAATTAAGATTTTACATAGAGTATAATAGTGCGTCTAAGAATTTGGTTAGGAACTGCAGTTTATTTTTTATACAGAAAGATTTACTGTAAAATCACTAAAAACTCTAACCTACGGTTTAAATTTCTACGATAAAGGCATTTTATTTACCGTCCAGTACTTTTTACTGTAATTTTATCTGGAATGGAAGACAAACTATTCGAAGTATAGTAGTTTGTGGGTGAGTTGGCGATAGCTCTAGTAATATAATGGAAAATTATAATAATGAGTATTTTAGCTAAGCTCAATTTTTACTTTTTATTTAGTAAAATGCAATTTCTAGGATTACGAAGAGTTTCTAAAAGTGATTAGTTATAACATTTTTTTCGGGCTCATTCCGGTTTAGTGCGTAGTAAAGAATTTGTAATTTACTGAAGGTTTTCTTAAATTCGGCCATAATTGAAGACAGTAAGTGGAAGATATCCAACAAGCGGGCTTAGAAATATTTTATACAATGAGGAAACAACTTTAGCTACTAAATGAATTTTTACGAACAAAATATGCTGTTTGTAGTTCGAGAGTCATCAAATTGGGTCTTATTTCGCAAAGTTTAACATTAAACTTTAAACATTTTTAAGGATTTGGATTCTTTATCATGTAGCCGCAGTAGATTTTAAGAAAAATTTATAAATTTCCTATCTTAATACTGCTGGTCATTTGAATGAAAAGATGTGCAGATGTCGAAATTTTTAATTTCGTTTTAATGACAAAATCAAAGCTTGAATATAATTCTTCAAGTTTTTAAGAATTTCTAAAGAAAGATGTTTGATACAATCTAGCGTGTATCCCCGCTTTTCTCCGCTTATCTCCCGCTTTTTTCCCTCAGATTTTTTTTTTTCAATCGCTAAAACTTTTAGGAGGATATTTATTCGCTTGCACCAACTTTTATAAATTCAATAATTCACCACTTTAAATACATTCAAAGTTTTAAATTTTCTTTTGCTAGGAAATTCAAATATTCAATGATTATTTTAATGGGGAAAATTAATTCTTAATACTATTCTAGTTTATTTCCGAAAATTGCTCCAAATTGTGTTTTCTGAAAATTATTAAACGCTTACAAAACATTTTAGAAAATATTTTTGGTTTACTATCGTGTCCTTTACAGAAGGTTTCGTAATTAAAAAAAAAAAACGTCGGTAACCTTATTCTAGATATAGATCAAGATGCGAAGTCAAGAAAATGGATATTTAAGAAAGAGCATTTGCTTGTATTTTAAAAACTAAACTTAAGACAATTTCTTTTAAAACTAACATATCCAAATTAGTATTGCGTTGCACCCATTAGCTTGCATCAGTATTTTTTTTTTAAATTGGGGCTTTTTTGAAAAGCTTAAAAGTATAAAATAGTTTTTAGAAGATTGCCATTGGGTGCTATGATGTTATAACAGTAGGGGAGAGTGGGGTCAATTGTAACATTTTTTACTTAACTATTTTTAACTAACAAAAAATCCAATATATTATTAGAATTAATTGACAGACGAGTAAAGTAGACTATCCTCTACTAGAAAAAAAATAAATACCTTATTTTAAATATTATTATATTAGTGATTAACAATTTTTGAAAGTCGAGCACTTGTTACAATTGTCCCCACTTAAGGGGTCAATTGTAACAGTTCATAAATTCAACTAAAACATTGTTAATTATACATATTATCATAGTTGTGATATATTTCTTTATTGATCAAAATAGTAGTGATATTTTAGGAGTAAAAATAATAATGAGCAGAGACCTAAAGGGTTAAACTTTTAACTTTAAGGGGTTAAAAATTTTAATTTATGCTGTGAAAGGTGACAAATAAAATAATGCACATGCAACATAATATAAATGATATAGGAAACTATTGGTGGTTCTTAAAGAGTTAAGTAATGGTTTGTAAACATAAGATTATTTATTTTCAGCTGTTACAATCGTCCCTTTACTTATTGTTACAATTGTCCCCAAGACGCCATTTCAGCTTCATTTGTTAAAAACAATGCTAGTTAATTAGCAAAACTAATCTTTTTTTTTTTGAAATGTTAATTAAGGTGTCCACTTACATATTCGGTTACTAATTTTTATTTGTTTAAACAAAATTACTTTGTTACAATATAATATTCTAATACCAAAAAAAGTACTTGCGTGGCGTGAAAATATCTTTTGTGATGTAACTCTTTCAAAAGTACATAAAAATGGTTGCCATCAGGGGTGTACATGTAGATTTATTAAATACACCTTGTGCGCCACCTAGGAACCAAATCTAGAACCCGACACTCGAAATTTTTGCTCTGTTACAATCGTACCCTGTTACAATTGACCCCACTCTCCCCTACATATTTATAATAGTTTAGTATAGTATATTTAGTTTTGACAGTCACTTTATCTTTTAGAATTCCGAATAAGAGAACACCACCAGGGAAGTTACATCTTCTAATTACCTAACCATCTTGAAGTCCGGAACTTTTCCCCGTGATAATGCCTAGTGTTTATAAAAGTGAGTATGTATTTCTCGTTAAACACTAAACATAGCAACACTTAATGTATCTACCATAGCTGGTCAAATGAGCGGACTTTATGTTTCTTGATTGAAGGTATGATACATGGATATCAGGAAGGAGATAAACTGAAATAAAAAACTTTATTACAATTAAACAAAATTGTTTAGTGCCAATTTTTATGTCTTACAAACACAAAGAATAAGAATTTTTAATTCATTGCTCAACATATTTTTTACGAATACAGGGTGTTTCCGTTGTACATTTTCCGCATGCATATTTCTTCTAATTATTATTTCTATAATTGCTATAATTATAAGAAATATAATTCTTATTATTTTTTCTTCTAAGAACTTGTGATGTCTTGATTGTTTCGACATTTTCCTGGGTAAAAATTAAGTAAAGCTATCCAAAATAAAATATAAGCTACTTGCCAAAACATTTAGTTTTTGTCATTTTTTTTTCTGAAACAAAAACGTCAATCTAAAATTTTAGGTATTTTCTTGATATTTGAATTCAGTTATTCTGATTGAATTCTCTACACAAGTCTTTACAGCAAATGTGCAACTCATCCAATGCAATACGTTGAACGCGTATTACGCTGTAATTTTTGATCCGGTAACCTTTTTAAAGCAATAAATTATTCTCTCTGTCAAATGACCGGTTGTGGTAGGAATAATATGACACGTATTATTCGAAACAAACAAAATACAAAAAGTGGAATATTAACAGTTTGTAATTGTTAGAAAAATTCATAAAGTCAAATGTGCAAAAAAGATATGATAAGCGCATTTTCTATGGCAAAGTTCTTAAACGGTCATTTGACCGGTTATGGTAGTGTTAAGGTATGGTAGTGTTAAGGTATGGTAGTGTTAAGGTATGGTAGTGTTAGTGTTAATTGTCACATTTTAACACTGAAAAAAAGAAACTTGAGCTGTGTTCCTTTTTGGCTGTCCATCGTAAAAGCTGAATTCTGTGCACGGCACCATTCCGCTGATCTTTATGGAAAACTCCCTGAATGTGAATGACCCCCATTCACTTTATAACTATGTTTTAGTTTCCACGCATTCGTTTTAAAAGGGGAGGGCAGTCTTATTTTCAGACTTGCGTAAGCAGGAGAAGCTGTAGCGAGAAGAGATTTGAACAACACAAGATCTTCCTCCTTACAAGTGTTTTAAAACATTCCATTCCTTACAGGATTTCTTACGGAAAATTTTCTTCCTTCAGATTAATTTGTTAAATTGTGGGCTCAGATTGAGGGTGGCAAAAATGTGAAATTTTGATGCTTAGCAACTTTGTCAAATATTTTTGCAAAATATATTTGAATTGAACCAAACTTATTTTTATTGTATTATGTTTTTAAGTTTGTTACTTATATTTAAATTTTCACACTGGTCTACATTTTGAAACTAAAAATCAAAGCGACTTAAAACTGTAGACGCGATTTGCGCAATGCTTATGGTGCTTTAAATTTTCGTAACTATTAGGACAACCCCACACCAAAAACTTTAGATACCCTGCTCCAAATAAAACTCATGGTTATGAAATTATCAAAAAGTGCTAAACATTAAGGTGATCTTAATAAAAGGTGTTAATTCTACTTAGGAAACTGAAATTTATTTTATTTAGCAATCTATTTTTGTTCCTAATGTTCTTTCTTTTATTTCAGGTATTAAAAAGTGTCTCTACATTGTTCTACTAGAACTGTCTATATCAGTCCAGTGTACTCAAGATGACCCTAGTGACGTCACCATCCTTTCATTCAGAAGAGGTTATACTCAGATGTTTGTTTCCCAGTAGTTTGATACTTCACTTCTTATTATCAGAGCCAGCAATCTCCTGCCCTGAAGATATGACCATTGTGACTTCACCATCCTTTCATTCTGAAAAGGTTATGTTCTTGAAATTTTTGTTTACCAGTAATTTTATCCTTGCATAAAGTCTTCCTGGTTTCAGAAATATGTGTCAATTTAGAACTGGCCCAATCAATATAAATTAAAAGCATGTATAAACATGTTACTCAAACTTATCAGAATATTTTGTATCGCATCTCAATTTTTAATGGTTCTAAACTTAGTTATCAAATTAAGTATAGCATTTTTTTTCCTAACAAAACAATTAAACTCATTAAGTAGTGTAAAACCTATACGTCGTTAATTAATATTTCTAGATTTCTTAATTTTTCTATATTTAAATATTTTCCAAACAAATCAATGTTGAACTCTGAACGACTACTTTGTACTCTGTTTATTTTAAAACAAAATGTAAAATCGCTTAAATATTAATATCATTAACTTATGTTGATCATGAAATTATTAGAGTAAATTTTTTTTTTAAATTCAAACCTTAAAATTCTTTCTCAGCAAAATTATTTTAAATGCTAAACCCTGAAACCTACATATAATTAAACAAGATTTATTATCGTAAGGTTAAACTTTTTAAATTCGAAATAGATTTTATACGCCCTCTTAAACCAAATCTCATAGCTGCTGCAAGTTTTAGTTTACATTTAGAAAGTAAACTCAACCAAAACTTTTATTTTCCCTTCGATTTTACTATTTTGATTTATTGGTGTCAGTTTTCTCTACATTTCATGGATCTAGAGTTGTTGGGAACCTTTATCTTAATGAAACAACGTATTGAATCTATAACTTTGTTGGCATAATGCCTGTAATAGTAAAGGTTAACGTTGGGTCAAGAAGAGAAGAAAAATGTATTCTTAATCCCAAAATTATTATCTCAACTTAAATTGATAAAATGGCCCTTATAAACGGTTCAACTAAAACAAATGTGATATATAAATTTCAAAAGGGAACACTTAAATTAAGAGTTGTTTTGCCTGTTGCTTTATGATTATACAATGATTAGGGATCTAACCGTTCTGATTTTGTTAAAGTAGACATTCAATAGTACTTGACAGACAGTAGACATTCTTAAAAATTTGTATTCGTACTTGTATAACTAAATTGTTTTAGAGAGTCATAAAATTATCCTTACATAAAAGCGTTTAGCAAGGAAAGGAGAACGTACATTTTTGCATTCAAACTGCATAACTTAGAGTAAAATTTGAAACTGCATAGAACTTGTACGTTATAAATTTTTTTAAGGAGTATGAAAATTACGATTATCTCTTTTCACTAGAGTAGTTAAATCATTTTAGTTTTTTACTGAATTTGATTTTTTCAATTTTTCGAGAGTCCTAAAGTTTGCAGAGGTGAAAATATTGTCCGTTAAATCCAAGACTTAAGATTTTTACATTACACTAGATTTCCGAATAATTTATTTGATAAGTTTTTACAAATAGTTATCGTGAATATTTCTAATCAAACTGATATTTAATCCGGATAAATTTTTTACTAGAAANAACTTTAAATTTATAATTTTTAAAAAGTAATCTACTTTAAAAATGCGTAAGTAGTTCAATGGAGACAATAAATTAAAGCTAAACTTTCAACAATTTCTTTTAAAGACTTTTTAACAAATAAACTCTTCCGATGAAATCCTAAATTTTAAATTAGAAAAGAAATATTGCACATACCTTCCAATTTAAATAAAAATTGGTTAAATTTAGAAATATAAACTGTTCCTTACCAAAGGTAATTTTGCATAAGGGCTGCAAGAAAGTGATCGAAACTAAATGTATGAAATATATAGTAAAGTTCATCGACCTTTACAAAAGATTAAGATAACGATTACACACAAAGTTAAAATGAGTAGATTGTTTTAAAATAAACGGCTGCAGTTCAGAGTAATTACACTGAAAAAAATTTAAAATTCTTTTAATCTAGATTATCTAAATTGTTAATGTTTCGGCAATACACTGAAATTGACTGAAGTCTACGCGATACGAAGACATCTATCTGCTATAGAAGCTTGCAAGTATGAATCGGAAGTTTTTGTCATTGCTGGGAGAATGCGGGGTAAGAATGGGAAGTGGTAGACGGCCGTTCTGCTTCCTTTTCCTATTTCGCAATCTTTCAGCAGTTTCGGAACTTCTCGATTCATGCATGGAAGCTCTTATAATAGAGAGCATATCCTCGTACTGTGTAAAAATACTTCTGTTAAATCTCGATGCCATTAGTGACTATTTTTAAATGAAATCTATTAAATGTAAGCCTAAGATGTTACTTAAACTTTATAATCTTAAGTGTCATTTCAAAAATTTAAGATACTTTAAAATTAAATTAAATAGCAAATTACTTGAAAATAGGGATAAATTTTATCCTGTGTTTAAGCTTATGAAATATTTTAGATTTAACAATTTACTAATACATAAAGAGTTGTTTTTAAGACACAATAGTATTTGATTAAAAAAAATTGAGCTTTATTTAAAATCTGTCTAGAATTGAAAATTTAAATATTTTTACCTTTAAAATTGTTTTTGTAACTAATTGTTTTGGAAGCTCTTTACATTCGCTTATTGTTAAAATTCTGAATTTTATTCATTTACTGAAACTTTGTTTCCATATTTATATGCATCGTTTTATTGAGTTGTAAATTTTGAAAGGAACTGTGTATACTTTCGCTATTGTAAAAGAGCCCAGATGCAAAACTGCTGCCTAAAAGAAAGGTTTTTAGAAAGCATGCAAACAGACTTTTGAATAATTAAAGTTATAAAATGTTAAATATTTTTTAGCTTTATGAATATTCTTAAACTGCTTTTAAAGATGGTAGTTCCAAAGATTTGCACCTGGACTTATGAAATAAATTGTTATAGAAATTATTTTTTCAGAATATGTGTTGTAGCAGTGCGAATTTATTAAATAAATGTTAAACTATCTCATGTACAACTGCTTTGTTTCATTAAATGTCAAATAGCTCCTGTAAATATCTTGAATAAATTTTGTAATTTTGAATTTAAATTTTCGTGTTTATTGTTCAATATAACTTTATGGCTGATTTCGATTTTTTTTTTGGGGGGGGGAGTGTTCAAATATTACGAAAGCGTGTTTTGGGAAATTTTGGACTCCCCCTCTTGTCAGCAAAAGAATCGTACTTCCTCTATTTACTCGAGAAAGTCTTTAAAAAACCTTTTTTTCATTAACTTAGAACTAAAATATTTCTGTAAAAAAAATCAGTTTAAAATAAACGACGAAGTTTTCAGAAGTGAAATTCTTATAAAATTTCTTGTCTAAAATTCTTTAGGAATCTTGCGTTTACCTTCAGTGGTTTAAATCTCTTGAACTCTGAAACACCTAGAAATTTTGTCAAATTTTTCCTTTCTTAAAACAATATTTTTTCTATAATTTTGAGAGAAAAATTTTGAAAATGTGGTTCTAATCTGTTACGTAAGCGTTGCTCATACTCCTCACCCTTGTCTGCATAAATAATCTCGAACCCCTATCCCATTTTGCTTTTGCAATATTTGAACGACCCCTTATGTATTCGAATAATAAAGNTTACTCGAGAAAGTCTTTAAAAAACCTTTTTTTCATTAACTTAGAACTAAAATACTTCTAAAAAAATCAGTTTATCACTTCTGAAAACTTCGTCGTTTATTTTAAATTCTTATAAAATTTCTTGTCTAAAATTCTTTAGGAATCTTGCGTCTACCTTCAGTGGTTTAAATCTCTTGAACTCTGAAACACCTAGAAATTTTGTCAAATTTTTCCTTTCTTAAAACAATATTTTTTCTATAATTTTGAGAGAAAAATTTTGAAAATGTGGTTTTAATCTGTTACGTAAGCGTTGCTCATACTCCTCACCCTTGTCTGCATAAATAATCTCGAACCCCTATCCCATTTTGCTTTTGCAATATTTGAACGACCCCTTATGTATTCGAATAATAAAGAAATTCAACAATTAAACTACTCTAATGTAACCTTTCCAGAAAGTTTAAAAGTAACCATGTATTAAGTGTTCATTCTTTACAGCATATGCTAAGACTTTGTTTAGCATATCGGACTTTTCTCAATACATTTTGCATTCTATTTATGGCGGATTTTTTGAATTTGAGTATTGAGTACTCTATTCAAACTAAGGAAATAGTGATAGATTTTTAAATTTAACCTTTTTCACCTTTATGACTATTAATATTAAAATACATCCCAATACACATCAAATAAGAGAACATCGTCGATAACAGTAGATATAGACTACGAAATTGTCACTAGAGTAGCTACAATGGTCGAAATTTTTTATAGATAATTTAAATCTTTATAGATAATTTAAATCTCTAATTTTATTCATAATGATAGTATAATTGAATACGATGTTGTGAGTTCAGGAATTTTATTTGTGGTAAATAACTATTGTAAATACCATAGTTAAAATAATATGAATAGGTAAAAATATTCCCATTGTTAATTTTTTTCTTTTTGTCATTCTGATATTAGAAATCCAAATCTTTTCAGGGAACAAGTGACTCAAGCCGCTTTTTGAATTAAGTTATTCGTTCTGATTCACATCAAGTTATTCAGATGACTGATTCAAATCAGTCAATTCAAATTAGTATTCAAATCAATCCATCAAGTAATTCGAATCCTTGTTTGAATCACCAGCATTAATCCTAATGATGTAATTCAAAACATTTTTCGACCGACTGATTTAACCGCTCACCATTTACTACACGGAGAGTCTTCGGCCGGCTGGATTCGAACTCACAACCTTAGTCCAGCGCCCTGCCAACCAGGCTCGCCTAACCCAGATATTATTGTGGTAATAGGTTTTGTCCCCGAAACGTACCAACCATGGTGCGTAACGTTTTTAAGAAGTACGTACAAGTGCTTATTTTCGTTTTTTAAAAGCCCTTAAAGGTGCTTTTCTCATTCGATATTCTTAAAAAGTGCTTAATTTTCCCTTTTCGAAAATGAGATTTTTTTCTTTACTATGTAGATTTTCACCCCATATTATACAAAAGTCTGGTTTTCACATTGTTCTACTCAACGTTTTCACAACTCATTCAAAAACAAGGAAACGTTTTCACGTTAACTAAATGACAGGAGGATTACCAATTATTTTGAAGAAAAAAAGTGCAAAAACACGCTGGGATTTTTTGCACTTTTTTTTTTCTTCAAAATAATTGGTAATCCTCCTGTCATTTAGTGTGAATAAATAAACGTTTGACTAACTCTTCTGAATCCCCGGCATTATAATCTTAAAATCACTCTGGAGAGTTAAAAAAAAAACTTTCTTGGTCTCGCATGCGAAACTAACTCACCTCTTCGTGTTTCCAAATAGCCTGCAAGAATTGATTCTTTTCGTAATTTAATAGCAGAAATGCCGGCTGTGCTGCGCTAGGATAATTTGTGGGTTGCTATTTAGCATTATTTTCAATTAGTCTAACTACACTGCTTGAGTCATGGAGGCTCAAGGGATAGAGCACTCGCGTTCCAATGAGGAACCCCCGGGTCCGAATCCAAGCGATGGCTGGTGGATTCGAATTCCGCACAAGGCTAGCACCGACCGCCATTCGAACCTAAAAATATATTCAGAGACCCGTGGATTATGAGATCTCTTGCCTTCAGGACTATCTAAACCTTCATCAACCTTATCAGGACTAACTATCTAAACCTCACTTCTTTTTAACTTTATTTCTCTACCATTACATGATGATAGCAGCCATGGTCGACTATTCAAGCAAACAGTTGGAAGGATATCTATTTAAATCATTTGAAAGAGATGGCTTCACGTCGCCTATTTAAATCATTTTCAAAATCGCGCTTTAGTTTTTCTCCTAGGGTGAAGTAGCATAAGTTTTTCCCTCTATTTTATTAGATCTCAGAGAAAAAGGGAAACATTATAATGGGTCTATTAAATAGATCTACGGAAACTTAGACATTTTACAGGGGAAAATGTCTAACTGCTAATTAATGCATACTTGAACTAAAAATA